CGAATGATGGAGCAAATACTAATATATCTCTGACGACGCAAGTGCAAATCGTTCGTCACTCGAATAACAATGCAAGCGTGAATCATTCATCACTCGAATAATGGAGCGAATACTAATATATCTCTGACAACGGTGACGCATTTCTGTCGTCACAACACTGACGACGGTGACGCATTTCTGTCATCACAACACTGACGATGGTGATGCATTTCTGTCATCATTCCTGAGTGGGAATAACCTAAACTAAGTGGAAATAACATAATTATGTTATTTCCACTAAATGCTTTATATCATTTGTTTTAAATCATAAAAATCATGCTTTTTATTATAATGACCTCATCCATTTGGCACAGAGGTGTGCAAGTGACGAATAAGCATTATCTAATTAATTGTATTGGCTATTTATTATTCGTCACATAGAATGATTCGTCACACCCACTGTGCCAAATGGAAAGGATAGGCTTAATCCGAAGAAATTTTACATATTTCGAGTCTTTAAACACACCCGTTTCATTTTCAGATTTCAAAATTTTGATGCACAAATAAGATTTTTTTAATTCTCATTATATGAACTCAATCAGTTATATTGTATTTTTTTTTTAAACTGAAATTGCACATAAATTGAATTGATCTTGTAGCAACTCCTGATCCTAATAACGGTCCCAATTATGGTCCCTAGGCCGGTCTGGTCCTCAAATTAACAGCTAAAATGTATAAACTGCTTTTATAAGCCAGATCACCACTGGTTAATTTGATTCTATTTCGTAAAATATTATGGTTAATGAACAGTTATTGTACTCTTATATTCACCCACAAATTTATATTATAGGATGAAATTAAATAGACAGTATGGTAAAATGTTATGATCTTGAATAGCTTATAATAAAATAATTCGATTAAACAGTTATTATTCTCACCAATTGAAATAAATAGTTAAATATAAAATTTTTATATAAATATAAAATTTTCATTTTATCATTGTTAAACTGTTAAACCGAAATTTAATTAACCACTGTTTTATAGAAATAAATTTAAAAAAATCTTCACATACACATAAATTATCTTTTTACAGTAAATAAATTTTAAAAATCATTAAGCGGATAATTATCAAATTTTAATGAAATTAATGAGGTTTCTTTGAAAAGGACCTTTAATGTTTTTTCATCTTTTAGACTAAGTCGATTATTATAAAGTTCTAATTCAACTAAAGTAGTGTTTTTATAAAGTGCATCTGCAAATATTTTTATCCCTTCAAAACCAAGTTGATTACTACTAAGGTTCAAAGAAATTAAAGTGGTATTTTCGCAAAGTGCCTCTGCTAATACTTTTCCTTCTTTAAAGCCAAGTTGATTATCACGAAGACTCAAGGAAGTCAAACTAATGTTTTTACAAAGAGCTTCTGCTAAGGCTCTTACTCCTTCAAGACCAAGTTTATTACTAGAAAGATTTAGATAAGTTAAAGTATTATTTTTGCAAAGAACTTCTGCCAAAATTTTTCCTTCTTTAGAATCAAGTTGATTATTATAAAGATCTAAGGAAATCAAACTAGTGTTTTTATAAAGTGCTTCTGATAATACTTTTATTCCTTTAAAGCCAAGTTCGTTACTACTAAGATTCAAAGAATTTAATGTAATGTTTTTGCAAAGTGTATCCGCTAATGCTTTTTCACCTTCAATACCTAGTTGATTATTAAAAATATTTAAGTTAACTAATGTAGTATTTACACAAAGTGCTTCAGCGTATGCTTTCCCTCCTTCAACACCAATACTATTATGTCCAATATTTAAAGATTTTAAGGTAGTATTTTCGTAAAGAGCTTCCGCTATTGCTTTCCCTCCTTCATGGCCAAGTTGGTTATAGCAAAGATTCAAAGTGGTCAAAGTAGTGTTTTTGCAAAGAGCTTCTGCTAATGCCTTTCCTCCTTCAATACCAAGATTATTACCACTAAGTCTCAATGAAGCCAGAGTGACATTTTTACATAATGATCCTGCAAATGCTTTTCCACCTTCAGGACCAAGTTGATTATATCCAAGATCTAAGAAGACTAGAGTTGCGTTCTTGTAAAGAGCTTCTGCAAATGCTTTTCCTCCTTCAGAACCAAATTCATTAAAGCTAAGATCTAAGGAAGTCAACGTTGCATTTACATAAAGAGCTTTCGACAATATTTTCGCATCATTAGGATCAAGTTTGCTATTATAAAGTTTTAAAGATATCAAACTAGTATTTTTGCAAATAATTTCTGCTAACGAATTTACCTCTTCAACACTAAATTTAATATTAGAAAAATCTAAGGAAGTAATGGTAATACTTTTATGAAGAGTTTTTACCAATAAATTTACGGTTTTATTATCAATGTTTCTATAAATTTTTAAATCTTTAAGTTTTTTACTTGTTCGTAAAAACATTGTAATCAAAGAACATTTTGTTGTTTGAATAACGTTCCTATGTTTTCTATATTTATCAATATACTCACTATGGTTATGAGGTTCGGATCCTTCACGACAAAGCCAATTTACGATTCCTTTTTGTAAACTACGACAATCAATAGATGTCGTATAAGTCGTGTATTCAAATAATGGTTTTGAGTTATTTGGAAGTATTATATTTAATGGAATTAATGGTTGTTTTTCTTCAGCATTTAATGCTAATAGATACATTCTTATAAGTCTTCTATCTTTGAAATGCAAAGATGGTTCCCTCCATAATATTGAAACAATGATTCTACACCATTGTCGATTTACAAGAAGGCATGAAAATAAGACTCTATAAAAAGTTCGAAGGTTATTAAATATTTCAAAAAGGCATTCATTCGGTAATGCTACCATTTTTTCGAAACGTTAATAATTTATGATTGTATATATTTGCTAAATAATGTTAGTTTTATAGGTAAGTAAATTCTGAATTTGTGACTCTGACCTATTATGATAAGAATGTGCCGAATGAACTTTATCTATAAATAGTTTCCCATTTTGTAGTTCTTATTGGCAGTAACATAATCAAACCATGTGACTAATAGGACTAGCTGTCCGCTGTGATATTATTTCCCTTTATTTAGGTGTGTCATTATCAATTATTATTATTGCTAGTTTGCACGTATCGGGTATCGGGTATCAGGTATCAGGTATGTAATACGTCATGATTGGACTACCCGATCAAAAATATTTTGTTAATTGTTACCAACAAGAAAGTTTTTCATTATATATATAATATTGTACTAAATTTATCATTCGGAAAATTTTATTAAGCAAGGTGAGAAAAGTATTTAAGATCTTCTCTGTTACGTACAATGTGAATATATTATTAAGGTTTTAGGAAACCAATAAAAAGAATGTCTAACAAATAGATCACACAAATATGCAAGAATATGTGAAACAGAAGACATTGTATGGTTTTGGGTAAAATTTTACTGTCATCTGCTACACTTCGGACAAATAAATAATGCCTATTTCCTTATCTATACGTATAAATTTTTGTGTTCATTCATAAATGATGATAATGTATTAATGTATGTGCGAATTTAGAGCAGAACCTTTATAGGTGGAATTAATATTTTGTCACCTTGCATTATAATCATAAGAACGATAAGAATTATTGAAAAAACGATTATACTTTGTTTATTTATCTTACACAGCATTAAAATGACATCATTCATAAAGTAGCCAACCATATTTGGCTAGCTAATAACTGTGGCGAAGTCACAGGAATTAATAAACAATACTAATACGTAATTAATTTATGCTTTAAGGTTTTTTTATTATTATTAATTTATTATTTTTTTTTTCGGTTAAGGCAAGGCTCATGTCTTCAGTATGCATGTACAGATTTTTATTGTATCGATATTACATTATGATAAACTTGATTATTTGAAACTTTTATACGTATTACTTGGACATAAGTATTTTACTTATTTGCGCCAGTGATACAAATCACGTGCCAATAGTAAATATTTATTTGTTGATATAGAATATGAGATAAGAACGATATTAGGGTTTTATTAAACCACAAAAGGCAATTTTCTGTGAGTTATTGACGATTTTTGAAAAACCTTCGATTTCATGTTACGTAGAAGAATTTCTTTTTTCGAGTTTGTATCACTCGCGCAAATAAGTGTATGCGCAGGGTTCTTGCATGATATCTAATTTTCATGCCATTACTACGTAATAAATTTATATCTTAAAGTTGTTAATACCACTATATAGTTATTGCATGCAAAGTATACAATAACGGTTTTATTCAATTTACTATCTCAGTTTATGAAATAAGATCAATAATTTTATCATATAAAAAGTACCATAAAATAATTGATTTATTTTATAGAATAATATATTGTGTTCATATATTGGTTTTTTAAAGGTTTTTTTTTTCTAACATGTAAACTATTACCAATTAGTTAAATTTAGTAGTATAAAATTAAATGTCAGGGATGATGCTGAAATTTAACCTATTTTAATATGAAATTTTAAAAGTTTTTGAGGTATTTTTCTGGATTTTTTTATGATTTTTAGGGTTAAAGAATATAGGTGGACTTTAGTAAGATTTATATTTTTAAATAGAACCCCTAAATTTCAGCATCATCCAGATCATTTATACTAAAAATTGGTTTAATCCATTTTTTCCATTGATAAGTAATAGATCAATCAAATTCTAATTAATACATATTTAACAAATTTGAAATTATAACTGTACGTTACTAGGCATCACTGAACAATTTCATAAAGGTCATTCATAATCCATAATTGCATAAAATGGTTTCTTTAATGATATGTATTTATAATCTCCTTAGTAAAAATTCACTGGAATTTTGAAATTAACGCTACTGTGTTTCAATTAGGCTTCTCAGCATGAAGTTCATTGGCATACATAGCGTGCCATTAAGTATAAAAATGCAATTATATAATACTATATTATCATGCTGAAATCTTATATATTATAGAATTAAATATACATATCCTTTTTTTTTTAAATAACTATTACAGAGATGTCATTATCTGGTTTAAGGTTTACTTTTGTTTATCTCTATGCATTAATTTCAAAGCAAAAAGAGCCAGAAGAGCCCATCCAAGAGCAATACAGAAAATATAAAAGAAACATATAGGATAATCGTCAAAACTATAAGTATATTTTAACTTTTCATCTTTAATTTCATTCCATCTATTATAAAGTAAAAAAGAATTATTATAACTGTATATTTAACCGAAATTATAAATAGTTCATAACGGATGCATACGATCTAGGAGCCAAATCTCTAAGATAAATTGCTTCGGCCACCCATCTTTGTGCTGAAATCTAAATAAAAATCTTTTTTTAATTGTTCCAAAAAGAAAATGATTAAAAAGATCAGAAAGATACTCACTTCCCATAACCATTCTAAAGGTTTATAGGAGTTATTGCTTTTAATATCATCCAAAGTAAGGGATCCACCACTAAAAACTAACCCCCAAGCAAGAGCGAATACTGTACAAACCAATCCGAATTTTTCTTTTCGAACAAGAATTGATATAAAATAACCTATTATAAATAAAAGAAATTTTATTTTAATCAATAATAAATTTAATCAAATTGAAGATTATTTAACATAATACATACCCATAATCCATGAAGTAAAATAATTTGAAAGAACGATAACATATATCTCATATAACTTAGCTTCAAATGGGTAAAATACAAAAAGGGATAATGAAAACATGATAGCTGCGATAATTATTCGAGGAAAATCGTTAATAAGTTTAGCCAAAAAATATGGAATAGTATTCATTCCAGATGAGACATCGCGCCAATAAACAGCTTTTTCGAATCCAAATGTTGAAGTTCCAGCTAGAAAAAAATTAAAAGCTTAAAAAATTTTCTAAAAGAAAAAAATTAAATTGTAAATTATAAAGAAAAGGTATTATATTATACCACTAGCTGCTGCAAATGTTATTCCAACTGTTATGAACATTCCAATAGTCTAAAAAAAAAAAGTTATTAATCTTAAAAATATTTTGTAGACGAACAAGACGATTAATTTTATAAATCAAATACCTTAACACGATCAAGAGGGACAACGCATGTAGCCTTGAGCACATATGGGGCAATTTCGCAGATTTCATTAGGTGGTTTTCCTTTAAATTCAGATGTTGAAATCGCCAATGAAGAAAAAGTACCACAAAAGAGATGCATGATTTGATCCGATAAGAATTGTGTAGAACTTTTGTAAACTTGTAAGTAAGCTCGTTTAATCAATAATAAAAATGCGCAAAGCGTATTTGGAGTATCGCGAATTGGATCATGTTTCCAGAATAGTAGTGAACACTTTAAGAACATACTTAATTCCAAAATAACTTCATTTATGTATATTCTGATATCTTCAACTATTTGAAAAATTATTTCTAGCTTTTTAGGCTTATGTTTCGATTCTAATAATTCATTTTCGGAAACGTCAATAGATACAAGGCCTGGGTGAAACGTGTATCTTTGATGTGGATAAGACATGCGTCTTATTGGTTTTACATTTCCAGAAGCAATTTTCATAATAAAATCAGCTAAACTATATTTAAATTAATGCAAATATAGAGTTAAATAAATAATTAAGTAAATAAAGTAAATAAGTAGTTAAGTTGCAAGATTCTTAAGCAACCTTTCTTCTTTCTCATCTGGAAAATTATAACCGAGACTTTCAAAATAATTTTTTGCTTTATTTGTTTTTCCAAAGTATACAAGACCTCCTCTGCTGTCCAACAGCAAAAGATCATCAAATGTCTTAAAAACTTGCGGAGACGGTGAATGGATAATTGCAACCACGGTTAATTTCCGATTTTTAGCAACATTTTTTAGCATCGTACATACTTCTAACGCCGTGACTGAATCAAGCCCTGAAGTTGGTTCATCCTTATATAAAGTTATTATTTAGTAAGAATATTATGGATTAATTATATACAAAATAAAGCCAATAATCTTTACCAAAAACAGTATCGATGGTTCAGTAACCAATTCTATTCCAATATTTACACGTTTGCGTTGGCCTCCCGAAATACCACGTCTTTCTATTAACATTAATCGGTTACATTTTTTTTTTAATAAATTTATTTACAATAATTATTGAAGTAATAAAATATTTATTGTTATTTACCTTCGTCTCCAATTTTAGAGTGCATCACATGATCTAACTTTAAAAATTTAATCGTTTCAATGACTTTTTGTTTTTTAGCCGTTCGATCCATGTTAACTGGCAAACGCATTTGCGCTGAATGCTATTATATTATTCATATAAATGATATGTTAGAATTCAGGATGATTTAAAACTATTACTTCAAAATAAGACAGCATATACGTACCATCAAGGTTTCTAATACAGTTAATTCACGTAGCATTACATCTGCAAATGCAAATTAAATGAGATTTAGAAATATTTGGAAGATTCCTGTATATGAATGTATTATACCTTCTTGTGGTACGAAGCCGATAAGTTTTCTGTATTTTTCCAACGGTTCCTCTACTCCGTTAACTACAATAAAATTTTATCATTTATTAATAAATAAGTCTACAAAAAATAATGAATTGGTGAATCATTTAATTTACACTTTAACTAACCTTTGACTTTTCCGCTTGTTTTCTTTACCTTTCCGGTTAAAATCGATATTAAAGTAGTTTTACCCGCACCTGTTTAGCACAATTATTATTAATAGTCATGGATGATTCTGAAATTAAAACCTATTTAATGTACGATTTTAAAATTTTTGGATATATATATATATATATATAGCTTTTTTTTAGGGGTACACTAGGGTTTAAAGTTAGAGTTTATAATAAAAGAATATAGGTGGATATTGGTAAGGGTTATATTCTAAATAAGGCTCTCAAATTTCAGCATCGTCCGCGAAATGAATTATTCTTATGCAAGTAACGTGCTGTCAATACAAACCTGATGGACCCATAATTGCACAAGCTCTTCCATGTTGAAAATTTCCTCTAATTCCCTTGAATAAAAAAGTTCTTAATAGATAAATAATGAACAAACTCCTTTTTAAACAGTTAAAATAAAGTCTTACGTACTTTTAGAATTATCACATTATACAGTACTAGTCCTATATTTTCGAATTCAATGTCAAAAGTTTCTGAGATCGGATCCAAACAACCATACGATATCACATGACCTGGCTTTTCCTCGAGATCCGACAGTAATTTATTGTATTTTACTCTTTTTAAATTATCTAACTTTCTCTTAAATATAAATATTAAGGTAATTACTGTTGTAAAGAGAAGCCCCAATGCGTAAGCAAATATTTTATTAGCTTTTACTGAACCGGAAGGGCAAATTGCAAGGAAGTCACAAGATGTTGGGGTAACAGTTCCAACAGTACAAAAGTGACCTGAAAAATTGGAATTAAAAAAAGTATTCTTATTTAAATAATGAGTTTTTGAAATATATTCTCACCTTGTGGGCATAAAGTTATATTTTTTGTGTCTTTAGAACAATAAAAGCCTTCACAACAGTATGATGGTTGCGCTATTATAAAAAAGTTGATTAACAAACATAATACTACAGTAGATTATGATTATTTATAAAAGGATAATATACCAGAATTTTTTGGACAAAAAAACCCAGGAGTGCATTTAAACGAAGAGTTGAAATTGGGGCAAAAGTAACTGATGTAATGGAAAGCGGATTAAATTAATGCATTGAAATGATAACACGATCAACTTATTAAATTTCTAATTAGCGTTAGATAATCGAGAAAATCCTTAATATTGTAATAAGGATCATTTACCCAGCAGGACAATTCCAAACAATTAACTGACCGTTAATTATATTTTTATCTTCAGGTTGAGGTGTTGATATATAACTGCATTTTTTACCAACAACATTATTCTAATGAAAGCATTGTAGTTAGTTTGCAATGAAAGAAACAAACAAATACATTAACAATTAACAAATACTAAAAATTTCGAACTTCACTTCTACGTTTTTATATGTTTTATTCTTTATTAACGAAGAATAAAGTATAGGATCTAATAATGAATACACATTTGGCATTGATCCATTCTGTGAAGCTGAAATGTTTTTGGATATAATTAGGTTTGACCAAAATATAGTATATAGTAAGCAAAAAAATGGCAAATTTTGTATGAAGAAAAACTGATTAGACATTTTATAATTGCTTTGAAAAATATATAGCTTTTGATCTTTCTAATTATTATGTAATAAAATTTTTATTCATAAAAGAATAGTACCTCTTGATTGTTTATATTAATATAAATCTTTCAACGTATTGCAGCATAAGAGAATTAATGCAGTCAAGCAAATACAGTGCAGCTAAACCTTCCTAGACGCAACTCAAATTTAGAGGCGATGATCAGTCTTGATCGATCATGTAATCGCATAAAATGATTGATTGATTGATTGATAAATTAGTACAAGTAGCAATCTTGAGAACTTTGTTTGCATATTCTCATTACAATTTATTTTGGAAACACATAATATAGTTTTTCATTATATTATGCTATTTATATACTTTAACTAAATAACAAAATTAAAACCTATATTTACACAGTGATAAAGGGGGGGAAAAATTAAACAAGTTATAATGTACCAAAAAGTAAGCCAAAAAATACCTATTACCATGCCGGTCATTATATTGATCAGTTTGCTCTGCCTTTTTGTTTGATAGAAGATCGGAAAATAATGTTAAATGAAGAATCAATTTTAATTGGCCTCAAAAATATACCCAAGAACGTACTAATTATGTTTTTTCAAAGCGCAAAAAAAAAAAAAAGTCGCATGTGAAATGTATTATGAGAATAACTGTATTTTATGATTGATTTAGATGATTGTGTTAGGCGCTTTATGAATCATTCGGAGGAGTTTCTGTGTGATGATTCTCAGTTTCATTATCATGAGCTTCGTCCAAATTTTGACTTTCTCCTTCAACTAAATTTCTATTTCTAACATCATCCATATTTCTGTTTTCGCTCTCATTATTTATATCTGAACGCCTTAAACGCGTAAAACAAAATAGCAAGCCAATTATTAAGATAACAATAACAATTATTAATACAGAGATTAATATAGTATTTATTCCGTTATTTGTACCAACGGTTGTAATCGGAGTAGTCGTTTTAGCGGTTGTAGTCGGAGTAGTCGTGACAATTTTAGAAGCGTTATATACACTAATAGCTAAAGGACCTCCACAAATTTGAGAACTATTACCTCCACAACTAGAGCTACATTCTATTACATCTAATTGGCTTACATTATTATAATTATTTGTACAAAAACATTGTGTACCTAATCCTAATCCAATATATTTAAAATTATTTTGTTCGCAGATTTCAACGCATTTATCTATTGTCATATTTGGAAGATTTTGGGATGTTCCATTAAATGTACTTTGATTACAAGAAGGGTTTTCGTTAATACATCCTAAATATGAAACATCATTTTTAAGATTATTTATTATTGCAAGTTTTTCATTGATAGTTATATTAGGCGGTTTATGACTTGAAAGGCTAGTTTCAGCATCATAAACAATGTAGCTTTTGACGCCACCACACATATAACTTGAATTACCAATACAAGTAATATTACAACTTGTGTCGTTTACTTTAGTAAATCCTTCTAGACTATTTTGATTTCCACATCGACATTCACTTCCATTACTAAGTGCTACAAACTTAAAAAGATAGTCAGCACAGTGGATAATACATAACCCAGGGTCCATAAGACCATTTCGATCCTTATATGGATCTGAAATGTTTAAATCGGAAAGACCATTAAAGGTCACGGTTGAATTCACATTTACATAGCAACCTAATGGATCACTCGTTGGGTAATCTCTTTGTATAAGATTACCAACGCATTCTTCATCTAAATCATATAAACCATTTTTATGAATGATTCTTATTTGAAATTCGCAAAAATGTAAAGTTCCAGAAAAAATATTTCTCAAAAAAGTGAAAAAACTTTTTAAAACCATAATGGTTTTTTCGTAACTAAGAGATTAAAGTTAGTTTTGATTAACTTAAATACTGAGAAAAATTTGCTAGAATCTACATTTTCTAAGTAAACATTACAAAATTACGCATACAATTATTATACATACGTAGGTCAAGTTATACACACAATTAATTACTCAATATAAAGGGTGTCACCGTCACTAACAATTTCAAATTGCATTATGTCCGACTCTAAGTTGAATACAATACTGGTCGTCTTCAAGGACTAATTTGTAAGAGTATTATAAAAATATGTTATGTAATTTTTTAAAAAAATATTCCCAGAATAGTGATAAGATTTGTAGTAAACAGAGCCACTGTAAATAATAATTAATCGCATTTATATTATTTATCATGGTACATTTTGGCTGTTTAGAAGGTTCGTTAACCTACAGACATATATTAAAATTAATTATAATTACTTGGCGTAAATTTTATTTTATTTTATTTTTTGAACAACGATGAAATTTACGTCATTTATGTTTAAAGCAAGTTACACGATGCTAGACGTCATCCGCGCTAGCATCCGAAAAATGTATCAAATTGGTACACCAAAGTAGATAGGAATTATAAATCAAAAAAAAAAAAGAATTATTTGACTACGAATAATGGATCCTATTTGTGAACATAATCAATTCTTTATAACTAAACTTTAAAAAAAATTTTATTAATTTTCATTGTCTTTGGTAATTTATTGCTCTTGATTATTTGATAGATTCGTTTCTATTAAACTACGTTCAATTAAAGATGAAATTGGTAAAGAAGCGGTATTACGAATAGTAGTAGAGTATGGTTTAGTAAAGTAGTGGAGTATGCTACAAAAATCGCATTTGAAATGTTTAAAAATGAAGATTTTGCGAGATTGTATACTCTCTCAAATTAAGATTTTACGAGATAGCTTTATGAAAACTATTGTTATTATTTCAAACTTTTTTCCCACATGTGATTTACTAAGTTCTTTGTGAATTGTTTTTTGACAAATCCAATTTTTTTTTGAATGTCTTGAGATGGTAACATAGAGTGTTGTGCTTTATAATATAAGAAATAACTACCTTCAAATTTATCACTGATGTCAAAATTCTCAAAGTTTTCATTAAAAGAATTATTATTTTTTTTTTTTGAAAAATTTTCTCTTTATCAGTTTTATTAAAAGAATTATTTTCTTTTTGAAAAAATTCTCATCCTCAGAAGAGCTACTAATCGATAGGATAGATTCCTCATCAGAACTAATATCATTCGAAGGTATCCATCTATTCATTAATAGACATTTTAAAAAAAATCATCGTTACGACCATTGAATTTTGAATTTAATAGCTATATTGGACTTCGGGCTTTTAAACTATCAAACGAACGTTATAAACTCTAACTATCAAATTTTATAAAAATTGGACCCGATATTATAAGTTTAAAAGCCCGATACATTACTTTTCTTTAAAATCGCATCCTATACTATACACGATACATTAATTTATACGTAATAGTAACCTCATCAACCATACACACGTGTTTGCAAATTTAATGTATTATACGCCACTATCATACTCTACTACTATTCATATTACTCGTAAAGAAGTTGGTTAACGGCTTGACGAAAAACTTTATGTTGCTTTTTTTTTTTCATTGTTAAAGATATATATGAAATGTACAATTTATAATTTACAGAGAATTTATCAACCAAAGACAGCTACGGAAAAATTAGAATAAAAGAGACACATAATACTATTAACAGTGATATTTTCAATTATATTCCTGCTGTAAAAATGATAGTAAATCAGGTTTATTGAAGGTACTATGTTGAAATTTATTTCTATGTATTCAGTCATTTCTTTCAGCCCGCGCACGTCGAAGTCGAATGATTGTTATCATTATTCGAAAATAAGAAAGATACCGTTGGTCATATACTTGATCCACTCTAAGTATGTTCATTTTCAGTAAGACTATTTTATGTCGTACATAATTTGCAGGAATGCCAAGAGTCTAGATGACAATCATAAAAAACTTTACAAAGTATACAGATTTCATATTTATGAAAAACAACGCAAAAATAACTAAACTTTGACTTAACACGTGACCTTAACGTTAATATGTTCTGTACTATCCAAGCTCCACTTACAATAGATCTGGAATCAAAAAAAATTTGTGTTCCGTCGTACTTACGTACGTACAGGATAACTGTATTGACATCAAGAAATTCACAAGATATACTGTATATGGTTAGCCACAATTGTTTCAATTAATTTTATTGGTACAAAAGCAATATTAAGCTTTGACGGATTAAGATGATCATATAAATATCGATATACAGTATATTTATGTTAATAAGATAGAACATCTATAGATTCGGGATCAGATCTATGACAAATAATGAAATAATGAAAATTTTATTTTAATAAAATATTAAAGTTAAAATTAATACATAAATTGTTTTATGATTAAGCGAATTCAGATTCGATTCAAGTCGATTTCAAGTCTGCAGATATTTTGTATCCCGTCTTTTGTCAATTAAATCTCGATTGATGAAATGACAAAATTGATGAAAGGTGGAGAAACTGGCGCATCCGAAAAATATATTATTATCTAGTAATTTTTATGCAAATAGCAAAATAATTTTTATTACATTAATTGTATTTAACTGTCTAAATCATTATTTACCAAATTTATCTATTCAATTTTAACAATAAAATTTTGCTGATACTGAACACTTCAAAAAATGTTATAAATATTTGAATCTTTTATTATTGAACAAGCTATCTAATATCCTTTCACTATCAATAGAATTCTTCGCACATAGAAACGTTATTTATAAATAGAAGCGGAACAATTGTTAGAAAAAATATATTTCAAATATATTTATTAAAATAAAGTGTTATCGTTATCTTTATTGCATTAATCGAAAAAAAAACTGGAATTCGAAAGTATTTGTCTATCCACAATGGCACACCGAATTCGAACTAATACAGATGAGAGATTCTAGATTTAGAATCTAAATATAGAATTATGGTTTTTACTTGGCAGCCCAAATTCAAAAGCCCTTGGTGCACCCACACACAGTGTATTCCGCGTCAAAGACAATTTACTCTTAACTATACTTGTACTAATCACCGCATAAAGGTGTACCCTATGACTAGGTTATAACAGCCCGTAGTTGTAGCCTAAGTAGGACATATGCAATGAATAACACGGGTGCAAATTATCCAAGGAAACTTCTTAAAGGTCTAGAATTCGTCACTTTGTATATTTAAGTTTGAAGGGCTGAAAATTAAAGAAGTCGCCATTGGCACTCTTAACCGCTCGGCCTTTTTGCCTGCCTCAGAAATGGTTGCAACAAATAAATCTGAACAAGAATTATCATTTATATCTGATACTACCGTACTATTAAACAAATACTTGTTAAATCTAGTCTTGATAACATTTAGTTAAAAAAAAAAAAGAATATAAAATATTGTTCCTTAAGCTGTTTTCTAAAATAAATTGAACCTGAGTAACCCACCCATACCTGAAGTGGGTGTCCATTTTTTGAATAATTTAAGTTTAAAAGAAATATTCAATCAAAAAGTAACTCTTGAATATTTTTTTCTGACACTTATATTGCTTTGATAAATAAGTTATGACGTTACTTTATTATATTATTTTTATAAAGTAGGGACTGAAAATATTTGGATATCAAATTGAAAAAAATTTATTTGGACAAGAATAAAAAAAGGTTGAATATAATTTTATTTATTTTTCTTTATTAAAACAGATTATATTAATAATATTGAAAATTGCATTTAACTTCGCATGAAGAAATAGGCAACCATTCTATCCCATATTATCATACCGTTCCGAAATAGAGCACTAGGGATGTGCATGCGCGGGGGTTTTTTTAGAGCCCGCGCGGGATTTTTAATATGATCCCAGACAAAATTATTTGGCCGGCATTATCATATCATCTGGCTGGAATTAATATAATATCTGGCCGTAAATTCTCGAAATAGTGGGCATAAGCTTAATTCTGGCCGAAATTCGATGCCCCTATTTCGAGAACAAGAAATTTGATTTTCAATAATAATTTTTTCGTGATTTTTTTTATCGGACACAAAAAATTAAGAAACCCACAGATTTGTGACCCTATCCCGCACGGGGTTTTAAGAAACTGCGATTTGCCCATCTCTATTATGCACCTTTTTTTGTATGTAATGCTGGTCAAAATTGACATAACGCGAGCCAGGGATGCTTATTTTCAGGGGGTATTAGATTTTCAAAAGTCACACACGTCCCTGTTTTTACTAAGTAATCTTATATAATATACAGAGATCGTAGTCTTTGTATATAAGGTCACTTAAAAACAGGAACGTGTATAGTGATTTTTGAACCTTTTCCCATAATACTAAGATTATAATAAATTGAAATGCCCCATTCTTGTAATCAAAATTCTAACCAATTAAGAAAAAAAATTTGGCTATCATTAAAAAAAATTTGGAAATATTAAAAATTTGGAAATTTTGGATTCTCTGGTCCCTGCATATTGTTCAGTAAGTAAAGAACGCGTACGGACGTACAGTACAGTACCAAAATAGGAATTTAGGCCGAAGATGAATTTAAAGCTATATAGCAAAGTATATAATAGAAGCCGAGTTTTCAGAAATCCCGAGAAAAAGCAATCGCAATTGCACTGGGAGTGCCGGTAGGTCATTATCCGCCTGCTGAAGCAGGTCGGCTGTAAGTGAAGAAATGATAGAATCACGTGATCTCTATGCTTCGCTGCCTTCTCCTGACTTTCTCGTATTAGGTACTTACCTTTACCATTCCAGCTTTCCCTTGTCTTCTTTTACACCAGGCATGTGCTATCTATGTTGTCATCCATATTTGTCTCTGGTCTTCCCACACCCGGTATCCTATTTTAGCCGTTAATGTTTACATGTTACGGTGGGGTATTAAGTGCACTAATATAGTCCTATATGATTTCGAATAGACAATTTTTCATGTAACGATCATGCGA